ACAGGCATGCATCCGAGCAGGCTTGGAAGCCACTTCGCGCTCCATTGTGCTGGTTAGCACACACGTGCTCCAACTCCCTAGTTCAGCCTTACAAGCCAGATGAATTGATTGAACTTTTCCCCCATTCATTATTATTGCATTTACTTTAGTTAAATACATAGCTCCTTCAAATGCTTTCCATATCAGTTCTTTTGATTTGTGTTTTGTTATCAGTACTTACACGTTAGGTAAAGTACTGGTTAAGTAGGTACCAGAGCACATCAAGTTAAGTAGGGTTGGCCAAACGTTACGGAATTGTAACACACACCCCTACAAGGTTACCAGCATTACGGGCAGCCTACATTCTCCATTCGATATCTTAAGAGGCCTCACCAGGCATTAGTTACAGCAATCCTGACCGAATGTGTGCATAGAAGAGCGAGAAACCAGTGACGCAGAAAACGTACGTTAGCAAGTTAAACCGATTTGGGGTGTATAGTCACACAGTAACTGCTCACGTGAGTTTATCCAAAGACATAAAAAACAGCGCAAATGTTACAAATTCCGTGATGGCAGTAAAGAACATTGAAGCTACTAAAGCCGTGGAGAAGGATTTTAAAGGCTCTATGGATAAGCCGCACAAAGGGGGGACGTCGGAATCCCTCTCTGAGATTCCTAGTAAAGTCGGGGCCACGGTGACATCTAAGCCTACGAACTCGCTTGGAAAGAAACTGCATTAGCTATGGGGTCACGCAGAACCTGTAAGATAAAGCTACCTAGTCTGCCGACTTCAATCTGAGTTTCGCATGCAATCATGCTATCCAGGTTCGAGAATCTGCAACCAGTGCCTTGGAGCTAGAAAAAGCCGCGTGAGACGATTTCTGATAAGACGTTGGATGTCATAGTCTTAAAACAATAAAACGATTCCGATGTATGACCCCTAACCTACGAATGATGTTTTTCAGCCATTATCCCTGTTCTGGCGTCTCACTGTATATACACCCTATTGGAATTCATCCATGCTAGGGTGATTTAGAATAATAAGAGGAATAGAAATATGTGGGCGATAAGTATGACGTAACATCCAGCAAAATAACACATCACCTTACGCAAACTGGCTCCATACTTCAACGATTTTTGGTGAAACCTGATGACGAATACTTGTACTAAACCTCGAATCGTATGGATGCAGTAGAAAACATATGTGCAAGCATAACAAACCAACAACTTATCTTCACACAACATTCCCTATTTTCTCTTACGTTTTCCTCTTCACTGCGCGAACGCAAGTCCGGTGTTCCTTAGTGGTAAATGATTTAGGCGTTGACTGCGTGTTTCGGCGCAGTTGCCTTCGCTATACAGAAAGCCAACTGAGCTGCCACCAATCTAGTCAGACGGTTTATCGTAGCAATTCACGCAGGACTAGCAACTTGTATCTGTGTCACTGTCCCTAAAGTCGCCGAAAAGGACCGATGATGGCTCGAAGCCGTACAGATCGTAAAACGACACGTTTGTAAGGTTCTGTATTACCATTCCGTAGCGTTTGACCAACCTTGCTTAACTTGATTCGCTCTACCACCTGCCTAACCGATACCGTACCCAACGTGTAAGTACTGATAACGAAACATAAATCAAAAGAACTGGCTTTAGGAATGTATTCGAAGAAGCAATATATTTATTTAGAGTGGATGTAATAACAATGAATAGGGGAAGGTTTATTCAACTTATCCGGCTAGTATGGCTGAACTAGGGACTGAATTTGTGTGTGCCTACCGGTACTAAGGACCCGCAAAGCAGCATCCAAGCCTCCTTGGATGCATGCTTGTTAAAACAAAATTTAAAACACCTAAAGCACCCGTAGGTGGGCTAAAGGTTTGCCTAATTAATTTAATGTCATCTATTTATTTTATCCCTAGTTATATTTTGGTGCCAGGAAGGTGCACTGCAAGTTCTTGATATCTATATTATCTCCGGAAAGTGAATAGCGAGAGAGATAAACTGCACACAGATTCAATCGGTACAGAAGAGTTGCAAGCGTTCCGCGAAATGTATAACTGCGAAAAGATATACACAAAAATTCAAGCTTAAAAAATATAGTACAAAGAATCCGTTAAATGTAACTGGCATCGATGACGAGTTTGTGTCCAAGGGTTTACAAGGTGCCATTAGTCCCCTTGCAGACTTTGACGGCATGTAAAAGAAGGCAACACAGAAGTACCCGGGGCAGTATTACGAAAGATGGATTAACATGAGGTAATGGAGACACTTCATTCATGGGTGGGGGCTCTAGAGACTGGATGTCCAGACACCATCCCCCGAAGAAGGGCTCAGGTTGTACTCCAAAAGCCTCTCAGGAGACTAAGTGCGGGAGGTTTCGAACGCTTGTGTGGTTAGCTTCACTTCTCTGAGTTCCAGCCGTCGAAAATATTCAAGGTGATGATACGTGCGTATACTCGAAGATCTATAGTCCAACTATTCGCTTCTGCGTTGAGTGCCCTTGTTCATCTATCTGATCGTTGTAAGAGGCCTGAGGTCATAACATAGTTGGGCATATCACCTGACCTTTCACGGAACCTAATATAGAATACAAAGCAAAGGGACTGCGGTATTGTAAGAACACATCCACGGGGAACGGGTATTTATCCACTTTATGATACAAATTTTTACGAAAAAGATGCGAGCTCTTAACATCCAAATTTGTTGCGTAAGAAGAGTATTTCAATCAAGTGTACAGTCCGTCAAAAGGGAAGAAATTTTTAATTCCAATTGGGTAGCGTGGTTCGTTGGGTTTATCTGGGAAGGAGTTAACCGGGAGAAAGAACAGATAGGTAATTAGTAAAATTTAGCGCACACTGGAGACCAGCTTTGTTCCTGATACTTTCCCTTTCCCGCTCGAAAGCTAGTCAGCGGTGAGGTGACAGGTTTTCGCAGCAACGATCAAACTTTGAACAAAACATCAATCGTGGGCCATTCAATCCGAAGAACATCTTCATATAGACTAAAGAATCAAATGAGACCAAATATTGGGTCATGGTTGAACTCACTGATAAAATTAAAGGTGCTGTCATATTTACCTGCCTGAGGTCCTGAGTCAGTCTGAAATAGGCACAAAAGACCTACATCCATCGCCAACTGGAACTATCGAGTGAAGGGTCTGAATGGATAATAATAAATAGACAAAACGATAACAGTGCAGTGAGCCATTTGGACTGGACACAAACAGCGACCGTTCCTTTTTGTACCTGATCCTTCACTGAGCCACAAAAATCAGAGGACAAAAACCAGCCTGTGACGGTAGGGAGGACCACTTTGGTTGACAAAACCACGTCTTCCATATACTGTTTTTCCTCAGGAAATAAAGCACCCAGGCCAGGATTTGGATACTTATTTCCACCGGTCGGCCGAAGGGCAACGCCTTCAGTCAGTTTTCCTTGCCCAAATAGTAACAGGGAACAAAATCGAAATTCAAGACTTCGACCTTAGCGGCTGATGATTTAGAATGCTGAGTTGGATTTGGGCAGCTTCCCGTCAGTAAGATAACACTGCGTACGAGTGTTGTCCATTCAACTTTTTCCCCGTGTTAGCACCGTGTTCGTTAAAGCTGTGGCCAAAATTTGCCTTTCAGATGTCTAACATCCCGCTAAGTGTAGAAAGGCCTTCGAGACTCTATGAGGAAGCTACCCACTGCGGTGCTGAAAGCTGCTAGCCATCTATATATATGGCACTTTTAGTTTGTTTCGGGATGTCTAAATGTCTGCTTTCTTCACATACTGTCTTGTGCTTGCACTCATGACCTGAAGGTCGGACAGACTTACGAGTGTATCCCCCATCTTTTACGAAAGGCACCGAATGCGCGAAATGAGCCCAATCGAATTTCTCAGTTTGCAGACGCTTTTGTGACTGCCTGTGGTCAACGTGCTGTGCAGTCATTATAACTTTGAACTCCTGAATATGTCTACAGCTTCCCACATTTGCTCCATTTTGGCAAATGCACTTTTCACCGGGCAGTCTTGGACAACATCACGAGTTACGTCTAGCTGAATCAAGATGTCACTGCCATCTTGGTTCCCTACTGATGCTTCATCATTGTTGCTATGTGTGGGACAGATCATTATGACATCTTGGTGATCACGACGCATCGGTATCTAAATAGCATAAGCGCAACAAAGAACACCTAATTATGATGACCGATAGTAGTTCACGGTAACATTTCAATAGTGGGTGGTGATTACCCGAGCTACACGTGCTTTCAGTCGTCTGTCTAGGAGATCACCGCCTACAGAAAACAATATTCAACATTGCTCAGTGCTTACCCGGTCTCCCGAATCAAGCACTGATTTGGTCATAACGCATTTAAACGCTAGCCGGGTATCCACTAAATTCCTGTTCGCTACATTAACGTGTATATTTGAACACCTGTAAAGAAATTAGCATATTTCTACTTCAGATCCAAACATAACAGAAACAAACAAACGAGAACAAAGGCAGTGCGTTCAGCCGCATAAGCGAAGACAAAAGGCCACAAAGGTGAAGTAAAACATGACATTTTATGAGCAACAATGACTCGCAGAGCAACTGAGCAACAGAAACAACTGCATAAACAGAACACCACAGCTTAACAGTTACAAGGAACACCACTGGAAAGAAATAAACTGTTTAAAGAACATAGACCACACATTTCCAGATGTTCGAAAACTGTCGTCACTGCAACATTAACACTCCAAAGACGAAAAAGCTAGAAATGTGTATGTTCTTGACAAATACAAGAATGTCAGATAACTCCAATTGGTCATGCCTCTGAACAGGAAAACAAATTAAAGATCTGTTTTCCTACACATACTCACTGACTTGACTTTCGAAGTCATCTTCGATGTAAGTGCTTTGATGCTTTTTTGTAAAACAGATATTGGGTATTGAAATGACCATCCGCATTTTCCAAGCAAATTGGTTACAATCAGCTGGAAACGGAAGCGAGCCACATTCGTTTGGGAATAGATTTTGGCCGCACTCGAGTTTCTGCTATGATATGTGATGAGGCATTTTTGTAAGTTGTGTTGCTCTCCATTAGTATACGTTATTTAAATAGTTCGTCATCACTTGACAAACCTACAAGTGAGGATGCAGTTACATCTTGGTATGTAAATCCTCAAACTGCAGTTGAGCATCATACTGATATAATGACAAGAACGTGGTCAAAAGAAATTCATTTGGATGCATGCAACAGACCTAGCCTTTCAACCCTTCTCGACTTCATAAACATGATTCAGAATTTGTCACAAGCTCATGTGGAGAGCCAACCCATATCAGCCGACCCACGTGTGAATCACACATATTTAAGTATTCCTTCAAATATTTGTTTAAACAGTTCTTCATTGGTACTGTATTATCCTCTCAGTGACTATGGATCAGTGCATGATATATTGCGAAAAATGGGTGGTAGATTAAGTGACGAACTCATGTGCGCTATTTTCAGTCGAGCAGTGTTATGCGTTGATCAGTTACACAGCAATGGCCTGCTTCATCGAGGTCTATGTTCTAAACACCTTCTTCTGAGGAAAAGAATGAACACCAGCTCAAATCCTTGTGAGATCGAAGTTGTCTTGTGTGGTCTTGGAAGTATGGCGCATCTGCCACCACCCTGGAGTTCTGTGGCACGGAACGACTTGCCTTTTCTCTATGTCGCTTGGCGTGGTTGGAGGGTATCTGAATCATCAGAGAACCAGTCGTACAGTCACCCAGTTGCTTGGTACAGTCCAGAGTTATTGGCACAAGATTTTACTGGGTATTCTTGGTCGTCAGATGTATACAGTCTAGGCCTCATATTGTATGAGATGTTTACCGGTCAGTCACCCTACCGAGGATGTTCTTCCTCTCTAATATTCCTCAAGAAAATGCTTCGACAAGATTTTCCACAACTCTGCAAAGTAAGTTTTCTAAATTGAATTTCTGAATGTAATTTTGCATCATGTTCTCAGTAAATGTGGCTTATTGGTCTAGGCGCTTGATTTTCAGTCGATAAATCATACATTTTAGTATCATTCAGCCAACCCAGGTTTGATCAACCAATTAATATCACAATTTCTTTTACAATCGACACCTTTCATTGCCTAGTGCACCTGGTCACCGAGTTACGATAGTCAGTCACTTGAACGCGATTAAAATACACTTTATTCATAAACTCAACTTGAGGAGTTTCTTGGTTCCCAGTAAAATATTTTGCAACAATTTATAGTGTTAAAGTAGGTTTAGTGTATGGGTTGTATGAGGGAACATCACTTCGTTTTTAAATTATTGTGTAGAACAGCTGACTGCAAAACCACAGAAATGTAAATGGTTTGTGCAGAAGCATTACTTTGTTAGTCATCTAGCTTTGTGTAAGAAAGCCAAATCTGTGCAGTAATTAACTCAATAACCAACTTTCCTAGTGTAAACAGAACTAAACGCAGTAACTGGCAATGTGGAATCATGCCGTTAGTGGTCCATGTAGTATCGTTACGCACCTATACTTAAGAGGTGTGTTCTTACCATTCGAAAATGAAATCAGCGTAAGAAACTTGTGCGCGCTTGGCCAGTACGCAATAAACCACACCTATAGTGTGGGGGCTAACGATACTAACTGTCCAAAACTGAGTAGGTGGAGCGGTGTTCGAACTCAACCCACCAGTTGAAAATTAAGTCTCCAAACCAAAAACTACTATTCTGCTGGCCATCCTATCGAATATCTCCGGAACTCTATGAATCCATGACATCAAAATTAGGCAAATGTATTCTGTTCACACGTAAGGTCAACGTTTGCCTCTTCCGGTTGCTGCCTTATCAAATGACATTGCATAGGCACTATATACGGTGGCATAATTGTTGGGACTTGTTTTTGAAAGTATTTGTCGAGAGTCGGTCTTGATCTGCACCAAATACGCAAGTATTTTTGGACTGTAAATGCTTTCACCTGTAGATTGTTTTGAATCTGAATAGCTTTTTATAGATCATGGCCAGTTTCCCAAGTATGTAAAAGGTACCACTTTGTTGAATATAAAGGAATAATGAAATTATGGCCCATACGCTTAGAAAAACTTCTTTTGCAGGTCCAAGTCACTTTCCACTCAAGACTTGGATAACTACATAATAGTCTTTGCGCAATACGTGTGTTTTATGATGTACGCAAGCCTGTACTTGGGTTCTAAGCTGCAAAATAACTATGAGTAGCATTACCGACTATTTTCGAAGGCAACGTTGAAATTTCTGACTGTAGCTGTGGATGATGATGTGATGCACGTGCTCCGGATACACTTGGACTCCAACATACTAAACTTAAACTATGTAGTCGGTCCGAAGTTTGCATGGTTATTGTAAACTAAGTGACACAGCGATTGACTACATATTTTTGGCGAAATAGGATTGATCCAGACTCCCATATGACTTTCATCTCAAATTCTTATGTAAATAAATTTGAAACAGTCAGTCCCTTTAATGTATTTGCATAACGCAATAAAACGGAGGTTATCTGAAAAATGTGATGTATTCGTACAATACGTTTTGAACAATCTGACAGACAGACGTCATCATCTATAGGTAATCGAACAGGTCATAGAATTGACCCCGAAACTGCCTTTAGGCTATTGTATGTAAGCCGTCAAGACCGTATGCTTAGGTTCATTGCAACTCTAGCTATACAAAAGTTCCCATCCCCTTTGTATATTCAAAAAGTGTATCCTTACCTTAAACCTCCCTTGGTAATCTTAGATGCCAAAGGTAGCTTTGGAAATGTATTATTCCTCCTGATTATCCCTATATTTTCTAAATCTTGTATCATCTTAATTTATTTACCTTGCCCCACCTTATTTTCATCCTTGATATAAATCGCCTTCACAAGTGTGTGTGACCAGATTATTAGAAACGTGTTGCGCGGATACATCACATTTCTGAGATAAAGTTCGTCTTACTGTATTATTCAAGTACATAAATTAGGCGTGCAGATATGCAAAAGTGAATTAAATTCCTCTAGAAAAACAGCCGTTGTTATGAATGCACCTGTACTCACAGTAAGGTGAGATGAAGCAACTGTTCTACTCTGATATTAATATCTTAGTCCCATTAAACTCATTCCGACTAACAATTTCTTCTGGTGAAGCGTAGCGCGAATTCCTGTGTACAACGGTAGATGGTAAAGCTGTAAGTGAGTAGCTCAAGCGTGAATTGTCAGCTATTGAATCATAATTTCAAACGCACAGCATTTTCCATCTTGAATGATAGTAGAATTATGACTCACTGGTCTGGTTAGTCCATTTAATATTGGGTCAAAGGTTCAAAACGTGTTATACGACTGTGAGACATAGCCGTTAGTAGTAGAGGACATAAAGCGATTGATGGGCTTTGACCATATGTGTCTTCGTAGCATTGATCATCATCATCAATATCAACATAGGACCAGGCATTACTGCGTAACGGTCCGAGTTGCCACACCTCATATCAGTACATCAAGTAGAAAGGTAGTGAGGTGAAAGATGAAGATAAGAAAATTCAGTCAAAAGAAATATAAAGTACAAGAAAGAAAGGAAGAATGACAAAATGGCGAGAATCGGCATAATGTTAAGATGAGGATAATGCGTGTGTACATTTGCGCCACTGACATCGGTTCTGAGCCATATCACCTCTAGAGTCTCCAGCCACTGGTTCCTTTTGTCCTGTGGACCCCAACCACTTAGTCTGCATCGTCCTACATGGCTCAAACCAACAGTCAGAGACTTCATACACTGGTGCCATGTTTAAGTCTGGCCACCTCGGGCCATTTTCCAGCCCGGGCCTACTTCAGCCAACATTGTGTGGCGAGGCGATCGGCGACTAGGCATACGTTGTATGTGTCCCAACCATGTCAGTCAATAAAAGTTTATAACCTCGTCAACTGATTTACCTCTGCTCCCTAAAACTCTATACCTGACATCTGCGTTACTCCCATGGTGACACCACGGAATACGGCCTATACAACGAAGGCAGCGGTGGTCAAACACTTGAAGCCTTCTCATGTCTTCCACCTTGAATGGCCATGTTTCACAGCCATACAGTAGAATAGAGTGGACTGCTGTGCAGTACACGCGACCCTTAATCGGCAATCAGATATCACGGCGGCATAAATTGGCAAAAGCCAGCCGAGCTTTTTGTATCCGTGCAGAGATTTCATCAGCCACTGACCCACCATTGTTCGCGTTTGGTGAAATCACCATATGAACAATGTTGAGGTCAGACAAAAGGTACTAGGTAAGATAGACAAGTCCATTGATGAGGTTATGAACCTTCATCAACTGAGATTTACTGTGTATGCCGCACCACTATCTACTCCGACGTGCCTTGCTAGGGGAAGTTGTATTAGTTGGGAGAAGGTTCAGGGTTGCTAGACGAAAATGTTCCATCAGTCCATTAGGTTTCCTACTGTTGGCCTGAGTCGTGTAGGGGGATGTAGACTGCTTGGTTGGAGTCCTCGAGACGAAAGGAATCAGTGGTTGAGGACTCTTGGTGATATGGCATAAGTGAGAATCGGTCACAATGGCGTGTATGTATTCACTCTTTGACGTCTTGTAAAGCTTGAATATTTGCACTAACTGTTATCTTCAAATCGTTGATTCTCTCACAATTTTGATACCACTCTTTTTCTCCCCTCCTGTTCTTTGTGTACTACTGTAAAGTGTGGCAACTTAAGTCGATGCACCTGTGCGTGAGGTTCTACGTTGATTTTGTTGGTCAATCAAAACATGTTTCACTTATTTAGGTTTGAACAGCTAAGTAGTATAGCCAGTCCTCACACTACAGGTGTGACGCATTACTCAGTACACGCAGTTGCGTATAGTCGTCGGTTTACAGTACAACTGTCTGGTATTATAATTTCTACTCAGCATGTGACAAATATTTTAGCATATGGATTTGTGTTGGGTCGCATTTTGTTCTACATTGAGACTGTGACTGTAATGGCATGAAAACTGTTAATCCAAGTTCCGTTTGTTAATCATGTTATTATCGTTGTGGTTAGGAACCCTGATAAGCAAGTAAAAAAGTCCAGTAAAAACCGTTAAAACATCAACATAAGGTTTGTCGAGTCGTAAATGAAATCCGGAAGACAGTGAAAAGTGGCTTTAGAAAATAATCGTATGCTTTTATTCTCCGATACGTTATTGTATACGTAGTATACTCATTATTGCATTTTTTTTTCCAATTCTTTCCTATTGTTGAAAATATTTTCACTCTTCACGTTGATATCTCTTTTGTTTTTGTTATAAAAGGCTGAGTTGATAAACAACTGTATCAGGTACTACGTTTCTCTGTCATACGTGCAGTATCATGAAACCATCCGATTTACACTCTTCTTTGAGATAAGCAAGGGTGCATTGTAAGCTTTGATGAATGGTGAGCATCTAGCAGATACTACTACTGCTACCGCAAGACTTAACTCAGTTAATACCGTTGGTTTTTAGATTTAAGTTTCATCAAATAGACGTTTGTGCTGACCACAAGGGCGTAGCATCGCTTTGCAGACTAAAGTGCTCGCGACCAAACTGGACGAACTATTGCTGATACCAAAAATCAGCGGTTACCTTTCATCTGTAAATGTTCCTGGAAGTAAAAGGCTCCTGCAATGATCATTAAGTATTGTATCACGGTTAGGCATGCTAGCTTGCCACTTAGACAATAGTGTGTCCAAACTGTCTATGCTAAGTGGGTAATTAGAGCAACAAGCCAAAGTTTGAAACTACTGCTCTACCCACCTAGCAAGAGTGTTCTCAGCATTTGTTGGTTTCAATATTCTGTTCATGTTTTGATTGAATAGTAGGTAGTCGAAGACAGGTTGGATTAATTGATTTCCATTAAATCTGATAAAAAACAGCTTCAAACTATTCGGTTGCTGCAGAGTAATTGTAGCAAAAGCATTACTTTAATAAAAGTTGCTGTCTGTTCTACAAAATAGGTTTTCATGTCACTTATTTAGCCATAAATTCGTTGTGTATATGTCAGAAGGTTTCTGATGGATGTTTTATCTGAATGCTATAATATGGTGCGCAGCGACAACTACTACATAAGAATAGTTTTCATCAAGTTCGCCTATTATTCGTCATGAAAACTGATTACGTATATCATTCGCACTTTTCTCTTAGGAAGTAAAGCATATCAGATCACACGCAAACTGCTACTACAAACTACTGAAGTCGATACAACAATAAATAATGCGTAGCTATAATATGTAATTTTTCTTTTGGTTTGTAGAATTGATTAATATTACGACTACATTGTTGATAGACTCTGAGGTACGATTATTTGGTATGTGTAGGCTACTTCAGAGAATTAAGCTACTGAAGATCAAATACAAATACTCTCCATTTCTGTAATTCGCTACTGCTATAAAAATATATAGTGTATACTTAATTTATATTATTGGTTTACAATCCTATTACTCGTTACTTCTTTACAAGAACAATGTCAATGAACCACCCAGCTGTGAAATGGAAACGATCTACAAGGCTTGTACACATCATGATCCGAAGAAGCGTCCATCTACTAAATGTCTATTAATATGCCATGGATACAATTGGGTTTAAATAAAATCATTACACCTGATGAGTTGGATTTGTTATAAGTGGAAAAGTAACAATGTAAACATGAAACTAATCAGTTGAAACTGTGATTTATCAAGTAAATGCATTCAAGAAGTATTTTTTTTGTCTGCTAAAAACTTTTTTCTTTGCTTATATTGATTTTATTATTAAACTGAATCTATTTACAGTAGATTTATACAGATAATGTACATATGAATTATTCGAAATTTGTTTTGTACTAACAGTGTCTAGGATTTTCCACAATATATATAATATATCTTTGCTTTATTTAGCTTTCTCATCCAAACCATTTGGATATTGTTTTTTAAATCGTTCAACAACAGCTGGATCAACTAAATAAGTTCCGTCCAGTTGATTTCCAAGTGTAATCCTATGCATTCCAAATAAAAAGAGTAGAAGTAAAGATGTTAGTAAACATATACTTAAGTCAGTGACTTTTAGAGACTCATTAGGACCAGTTGATAATTGAAAAAAACATCGAAAATCAGAAAGCATAGTATGCTAATTAAGAAATCCTTAGTAAGGAATGCACTACATTGCTGTCTGAGGTCGAATTCATGAAGTGACAGGTAGGCGTCACGTTCATTTACCTTATTAACAATGTGCGTCTGCAGAAAACAAACATATACAGATGTATTTCTTGAGAGTCATATATTTGAGTTAGGTTTGCCATCTCCCTCTCTTCGAAGAGTACCATATCCTCAAGGTTAAATGCTGATGATTAAAAAATTAAATCTATAGTCTTACTTGTTTCATTGTATAATAAATGTTCATACATGCATTATTGAAGCGTTTAAGCAAATGAGATGCATACAGTAGATTGTCGCACACAGCCACTTTGTCATGTGCATATTTGGAGTAAGATATCTTTCCGACTTCATATTTTAGCTTCATCAGTTTGAAATGCGCTTAACAACCACGTGCACTTGTGTACAGTAGACAGTAATTCATACCTATTGTGTTAGAGTTAGTGATACTACCTGGCCGCCCGAACCCCGGTCGGTGGAGTGGTGTCCGAACCTGTGACCCATCGATTAAAATTCAATTGCCTAAACCAATGAACCACGGCTCTAATCATCATTTCAAGATGAGATATGCAGCCGCCAATAATGGATCGAATACACTAATTAACCATACATCACTACTTTAATAATATCTAATCACATTAATTTGATTTTTAGTTATTGTAACTCATTTACTGAGTCTAATGATATTCTTCAAGTTGATATTCATAACAGACTGACATCAGTTGGAAACCTGGGAGCGCTGGACAGCCATTTCGTCCAAGTATGGGACTACTCAGCAGTGCGCACCCACGACCCCGCCAGGGATCGAACCTTCGACCTCCAGGTTCCATGGCCAGCACGTTACCACTGAGCACTGGGTCGGAACCCAAGGGTCCATATTTTCAACTTCTGTCAGTTCACAAACCGTCTTTTTGATTACGATTTAGTTCGTGGTTTTAAAACAGTCATAATTCTAGTTGAGACAATCAATTATTTTGGCTCGTGAGCATAAATCACTTGGCTACGCCGAATCATAACAAGCGGTCAGCATTCATTCATCACCCCGAAAATAAAATACTACTGCGTACTAGATTCGTCTGTCGAATAGATTTTTTCCGTACTGAACTTCAATAGTTAGACTAAAATGAGATATAATTCGGCTATAGACAGACCAACGTAGAACCAGTCTAAGTTGCCACATTTCATTATTATATTATTATTTATCCCTTGGGTTCCTAATGGAACATAGGGCTTCAGTAGCACGTCTCCATTCCACTCTGTCCTCTACAAATTTCTGAACCTGGTTCCACGACAGTCCAGAAGCCCTCACTTCTTCCTCGCACGATCTCCTCCATGTCACCCTCAGCTGGGATGCCCAACTCGTCGTTTCCCATCTGGGTTCCACTCGACGGCCTGGTGCATGATGTCCCCAGTCGGCCTTCTTAGTGTATGCCCAATCCATCTTCACTTCCTTCCACTGCATATTTGTTGGGTGATAGGTTCTCCGTTGGTTCGTTGTCAGGCCAGAGTTCCCTGTTGCTGATTCTTTCTGGCCATCTGAGCTTCAGCAATGAGGCAGTTGTTGATGAATGTCTGTAGTTTGATGGAAATGCTTTCCGTAACGCACCAAGTCTCTGAACCATACAGAAGCACTGACTTGACGTTGGTATTGAAAATCAGGATCTTGTTCACGCTTTTTGCCGGGTGCAGAAGATCTCCACACTGGTTTCAGGTTAATGGACGCCTGTCTTGCTGTCTTTCCGATTCTGGCTTTGACGTCCTCGTCTGTGTCGCCTGTAGTTGAAACAGTGCTGCCTAGATAGGTGAAAGAGGCTACTTCCTTTGTGTTTCTCCCGTTGATGGTGGCTGGAGCTTCTTCTTGTTGGTTGGGTATCTTCATCACCTCTGTCTTCCCTACGTTCACTTGAAGTCCCGTCTTCGCTGCCCTGCCTCTTCTATCAACTTGTTAGTTTTCGCCTGTAGATCTTCAAGTTTGTGTGACATTAGACACAAGTCATCGGTGAAATCCATAAGTCGATAAATTCTAAATCAGAGGCGAAATCCCAACGACCAACCCATTAGAGCTGACACAACTCTGACTAACTGGTCAACTCGTTCCACCATTTTGCACTACATCCTTAAACCGACAGTCGATACGGAACAATCCTGAAGCATCATCTTATGTTTAACAGGCACAAAACGTATTCGAATTTCCGCTCAATTCGTTGAGAAAACGCTGCATTCTCATTGTATCATTAGGCCCATCATACCTTAATGCATCCATATTTTTACGAAGTCCTTTTAACTATGAATAATGATGTAATAATGATCTAAGTTAACCACCCGCCACTGGTTTATGTGAATCAAGCTGATCTAGCAAAATATTTCAGTGAAAGGACGAAAAAATGATGCAAATGTCGAAGATTTGATCATTCGTACATTTTTCTGAAGGTGTATCATAAAAGCATAATAAATAAAAATCTGAAGTCTCACCAGTTGGGTTGCAAGTTGTGTGGACGTCCGAATAATTCGAGTTTACGTGTACCTGGAGATAATCGTTCAATAATACCGTAGATTTCATCAGGTTTGTGACTTGTTTCACGAACTTCAGAGACTATAATATCACAGTCCAAACCTCTATTCACACCCTTTATATGAAAAGCAACAACAAGATAATTCATTGTAAATAGTGAAATTAAACTATAATTAATGAACTGAAGTATTGTAAATTGGCCACTTACCTTTGGATTACCTTTAACACCAACTAGACAGTGTTCCTTGCCATGATTTAGCCAGTGTCCTGTACGCCCTGTACGGATTAAGCGTTGCAACTGGTTAGTTTTCACCCATATAATTTCATCGATACGTTCATAACCCCATAAACGCAGACATTCTCGACCAAGTTCCATAGCCCTGTAAGAGAAAGTTAAGCAGAAATTTACAACACAGCAGTATTTTATGCTTAGATATTCTCAAATAACTGATTCAACAGAAATTCTCTACAAGGTTCATGCCCAAGTGTTCAATATAAATACAAGGAATACTTTATAACCCTGGTACTTGATAGTGTTTTACGATATTCCTGACTGCCAAACCTTGCAAACGCACAAACAAGGGAAACACAGTGGCCACTTGAGAGGACGTGTAACTAAAAACATACTTTAGAAGACGGCCTAAAACTTCATCATAACAGTCAAGTTCTTGAACGTATCCTGACTAACAATGGACTGGATGGTTTGAAAAAACTTCGGCACCAAGTTAGTAAGATTCAACGTATAAGATGTAATCCCGGCGTAGTATATTAGAACAAGTATTTCGTATCATTCCTCTTCAACGTTTTCATTTTGCTGGGAAGATCCTCTTCAGGAGTGTGAATCTGACATTAAGTTCTCAGGATAGTATTCAAGTTTGGGTACAGAAAGTGACCTTTACGACCATCCGATTACATCGTGATATGGAACAAAGATCAACGTAACGCAGATGAGTGCTATTTAGCGAATCTGTCAAAGACTTTTTCAGTTGTACAAGTAAGGTGGAACAAAAATAGGGTGGGGGGTTTAGTTCGACTACGAAAAGTACAATGGGGTTGCGAGTAATCAAGGGTGAAAAAGATTAGATTACTATTTTGGAACACAAGCAAAAATACACCTTATACGATGAGTTCAGTTCTTGGTTCATGAATGTTTAGTCATGTATCATTTTATCTAAATGCCGATACATATCTAAAAGAAAAATAGTTCACAATCGAATGAAAAATACCGTATCGTCCGTCGGTCTTCTCCTATTGCTGGGAAACTAGTGTTTGAGTCCATTATTCCAATCTAGTTAATGTTACGGTATTGCATTGCCCAAGTGATAGAATACTAGTAATGTCTTCACGTAAATGTGGTTTCATAAGTCATAATCCTGTGATACTTAACGTAAATATGTGAGCATCTAGTGCAACCATATCATCTAACCCATTTCAAAGTAATCCACAGAGCTAAGTTGGACTACTCTCAACGTCTATGTTATCACTCCTTATGCATAGCTAAAGGACTAGGTATGCACCATCAAAAGCGTTTTTTGATGAAATCGCTTTCTCTACCTTGACCATAACAACGCATCTTTTTAATGAATTTTATCCCACTTCACTGTAATTATACCTAAGATTAGAATCGTTGCACAAGTTTTCGATAACACATGACTCTCCATATATATATATATATATATATATATATATATATATATATATATATATATATATATATATATATATATATATATATATATATATATATATATATATATATATATATATATATATAGAACGGAGTATAGAATGGCAGTCAACTCTCTACCTCGACTTTGAGAAGGCCTTTGACAGCGTCGACCGAGAGGTAATTTGGAAACTGCTTCAATACTACGGAATACCGCAAACCTTTATCAGCCTCATTCAACAACTATATGAAGACGCCACATACCAGCCAAGTAATTCACAATGGGAAGCTCAATGATGCTTTTCAAGTGAAGATAGGAGTGAAACAAGGTTGCCTACTATCACCCATGATATTCCTGATTGTGGGCGAAAACTAACAAGTTGGCAGAAAAGGCGAGGCAGCAGAGACGGGACTTCAGGTGAATATAGAGAAGACAGTAGTGATGAGGATACCGCACCAACAACAACAACAAACTCCAATCACCATCAACGGGAGAAACACAAAGGAAGTAACCTCCTTCACCTATCTAGGCAGCACTGTTTCAACTACAGGCGACACGGGCACAGACGAGGATGTCAAAGTCAGCGTCGGAAAAGCAAGACAGGCGTTTATATGCCTGAAACCAGTGTGGAGATCTACTGCACTGCACTCAGCATGTGGAACAAGATCCGGATTTTCAGCACCAACGTCAAGTCAGTGCTTCTGTATGGCTCAGAGACTTGGCGCGTTACGAAGGGATTTCCAATAAACTACAGATATTCATCAACAACTGCATAGGTTGGCTCGTTACTGAAGATCAGATGGCCAGAATAATCAGAATAAACAACAAGGAGCTCTCGGAAGGGACCAACGGAGAACCTATCACCCAATAAATATGCAGTGGAAGGAAGTGGAGATTGATTGGATTGGGCATACACTGAGAAGGCCGACTGGGGACATCACGCGTCAGGCCAGTTGTTCGAGTGGAACCCCGATGGGAAGCGACGAGTTGGACGTCGGTGCCGAGAGTGACATGGAGGAGATCGTGCGAGGAGGAAATGAGAGGTTGTGGGCTGTCGTGGAGCCAGGTTCAAAAGTTTGTAGAGGACAGAGTTCACTGGAGACGTGTTACTGAAGCCCTATGTTCCATTAGGAACCCAAGGGACTAATAATAATAATGATTATTTTATATATATATATATATATATATATATATATATATATATATATATATATATATATATATATAATAACTCGTTAAAATCTCATTTGTGGAGATTCGCTTTAATCGCGTGACTAGGGTTGAGTGTGAAAACGAGAAACTACTGACCTGCCTGTGACCCATAGGAATATGTAACCATCATCTTGTAAACAGGGTATATCCAGTCGTCTCATTTCATCATCTGACATTGTTCCGTACGGTAGTTCCATGTGTATATCCCACGTGGATCAGCCATAATAACAGAAAATTTTCCCAGAATAGACATATTTATCAACCGGATATCACAGTTAATCCACTGGAAGAGAGAAGTGCAAATGTGTTGAGAGGCAATAATCTAGCCTGCTTACATCTCTAGTTAATTTATAGTCAATTGAGTTAATACATTTTTAAAGTTATGCAATAACCAATACATGATGAATCACTTAGTCTAGGTTCATTCTGTTATTTGATATGATGATGGATAGTGGATAACAGTGGAGTCTGGGATGCGTGTTTTGCCCTATTTGAAACTCATCAACCGGGTACACCTGCCTCCTAGTGAGCGATGTTATTCCCACTAGGACTCGAACCCGGAACTGACCGCTTCAAAAGCCAGAGCGCTATCTACTAGGCCACCGAGTCATGACGGCAAACTATTGTGGGACGGGTACAGCTTTTTATGTTGTCGGTTGTATTATCTGCTCGTTGATTGGACCAAATCGATCGGTCTCTATAGGTGCATAGGCTCCTATGCCGACGTCTCGATACTGCTTATAGTTTCAGTTGGTAGTAATATTGGATAGTGGCAAGCAGTGGAACCCAGGATGTGCATTTCATCTTATTTGAGACTCGCCAGCTGGATGTTGTTGTCACTAAGACTCGAACCGTTAACAGATTTCGATCCTATCACGCTAAAAATATAATTTGAAGCAGTGATGATTTATTGTGGAATTTCGAAAAGTTCTAATGAACATTTATTTCTCCACTAACATATTGATTTCACAGTTTTAATTAGTTGACAAGGCTTTTCATCTACAATACAAAATAGAGGTATGAGGGACATACTGATTGTAAGTAATAGTTTTACGAAATGAGAAATGATTAATAAGGCATTAGGCGGTTGGATCCCGTTGAGAAGAATCTCTTCAATTATATTTCATGAAGTGGTAAGTCTATAACCTTAAAGTAATGCATGCCTCTGCTGTTCAGCATCAGATTCAAATATATTGTCACACCTCAATTATTTGGCGTCAGGTCTATGTACTGTCCTGTGTAAGAGCTCACGTTGCTACCGGGTAATCCAGTTGTTCAAAGTTGGCGGAGCAGGATTTGAACCTGCGAATCACTGGTTGAGAGTAAAGTGCTTACATAGATGAGTCACATCTAACCATTAGAATCACTTGTGATCCCTCTGAAGATTATATCACAAATGTAAACAAGCGGCTCATGTAACAATCATGTTCATACTTTGATTCCCAGTAACAGTTGGGGTATTTTACATCTACTGGAACTTATATACATACCTAGTTGACGAATATCAAGCACCATAAGACTTTTTTCGCTACAACCCTTTGTTCTCAGTTTCACTTCATCAAGAACGGTACATCAGGACCCCACTTTTGAGGCAATCGGTGTTTTTCAGTTAACTATATTAAATCAACCGACCGATTTGTAAGTTTGATTATCTGTCTCATGAGACATATCACCTTATTTTAAACATTATAATCATGAATCGAGACTTGTTTACGCCATCAGTTGAAACCAGCAGTACTAGTAGGGTTCTGTGCCTCCCTCGCAACCTTCTAAAAATAGATCTTCGAAGTATTTCTAAACCAAATGCCGATTGCTTTCTCTGAAATGAAGAAAGATTCCTTTTGAGAAAAATTACTATTCTACATTAGCCACCAAGAAAACCACACTTGGTTACACAAATCACACATGAGTTGGTCAAACAGAAGAATATGATGAACTGTGGCTCATGAGATTTAAACTTTGCTTCACCTATCGAACAAGTTGAGCAACTATTTGAGAATGGTTGTGATTCTTTTCTCCCCTTACAGATGGAAGTTATTTCTTCAGGACCGGTATACATTATAATACCTCGTTTGTTAATGTGATACGTTGACCACTCCATTTGTATGGGAAATCGGAGGTCAGTGAAATCTTAACACGAATAAAAAAGGTTCTATTAGTTTTCGCCAACTTACACCATTTTGGTCCCAGCAAAATATACGATTGCCTAAGACTCACATGTGCTGTCCCAGTACAGTTTACATGTAAAAGTAACAACGATGAACTGAATGACTGAGTTAAACGTTCGCATTATATTAAATATTGTTGTTTCCAAGAAGATTTTGTACACACTTTGAAATCTTCCTTGTAAATACATGTGCATGCTTTTTAACTGAGGACTGTGATACTGTGTTAACGACCAGATCAAAGCTTGGTTTTTCCATATTTTCCTTTTTGTACTACAACCTTTTAACGGTCAAGATTCTTAACATTCATTCAGATGGCTTCGGTTTTAACGCCGGTGCAAGTATACTTCATGCAGATGTTGCTCAAATAATGTGGCTCGCGTTATTGAATCCTGCTGCACTTACTTTAAGCTTGGAAACCGGGTGATATCATAAATCCCTGACACAGAGTATATAAAGCAAAAAACTAGGGTTACCTGGGGTGGATATAGAATTAGTGGTGCTCCATTCTCTTTTGTAGTAGCAGTTGAATCTAATGTGTTTGAAGTAGTCTGTGTTTTTCCAGTGTCAGAATTACTGTTGGAAGTAGTTGTTGTACAATTATCACGTTGTTCATTATTTAATGAATTCCGATTAGTAGTACGTGATGCAGTAACACTGTCTGAATAGTCGATTGTGTAATGAACATACTGAAAAGAAGATTAGTAAAATATTAATTTGACAAGAAATAGATTACTTAGTCTGTGATAAACCTACTTTAAATAGAAATCGAAAAAGACACAAGTGACAATAAGAAAGGTAATAAAGGAAGTACAGTAAGTTTTGAAAACCAAACCTTGGTAACAGAATAAAATAATAATTAGGATTCGAACACACAAGTCAAGCTCAAGTTTGTGTATGATTAGTGCTTAGGCGAATGTAAGTATGCCTGTCTGATAGTTTCTATACAAAATTGTAAAGATTGTATAGGAACTGTTAGCGGAGAATGCTTACGTTTGCTTAAGCCTTAACCATATACAAATCTAAGCAACCTCTCCCTCCCCTCCCCGCCCTACTTTTCTGTTGAAAAACAATTTATCTTTACGTTAAACTTATTCTAGTATTTATTATCTTATCCTATTACGATAAGTTGATTTATTCTTCCTTCATTATCCGCTACGCCCCTCCCAAGTAAATATGAAATCTACTTTTAATATAAAGAAATTAACGGATCAAAATTGATAGTTCTCCCTTAAATGGTACAATATCAACATGTAATAATAATCATAACATGAAAGAACTAGTTGTGTTCAAAAAAAAAAGAGACCGGTAAGATGAGTCAATTTGCATAAGATAAACAAAGTTTTATTGTTATCCTTTTATAAACACAAAGAAGTAAATTTTCTTATCAGTAATCAGATATTTATACCGAAATTCAAAAATTAGAAAGTTTCAATAGGTCTCATCAGCTGAATACATTAACCAATTATGTAAATCAAATTTTGAGATTAGCATAGATATATAAAAGAATTGAAAAGATTTTTAAAAAAATTTTGTCAACAGATGACAAATTTAATGTTAACCTTTAATAACACAATAACTATGAAAAGAAAGAAATATGTTGGGACAAACTGAATCAAGTGAAAAGAAATTTATCCATTGGCACTTAAATGTTATAGAGGTATAAAGCAGGTTATTATGATCTATTAAAGCTAACTGGCACAAGTTTAGGTAATCCTGAACAGATTATATTGCTTGCTATGATTAGTGACAACTAGAAAAATACATCATAATAAATTCAATAGTATGAAAACAGTTTAAAATGTGCAAAGCAGTATGATTCCTTAAAGTTTTACCTATCCAAACAATACCTATTATATTTTGAGGGGTTGTGGAGATTTGGAATTATTTCAAGTTGTTATTCATCGAAGACTGACATCAGTTGGAGGAACAAAGGAAACCTGGGAGCACTGGACAGCTGTTTCGTCCTAGTATGGGACTCCTCAGCAGTGCGCACCCACGACCCCACCAGCAGGGATCAAACCTGCGACCTTCAGGTTCCTCCAACTGATGTCAGTCTTCGATGAATAACAACTTGAAATACCTATTATATCTACACAACTAGAGGTGCCTACTACAATCTAACTAGGTAGATGGAGTTGATAAATCATAAGTAAAAATTATCTATATCGTGAATGCTGTGTTATGAGGACATCTGATTGTGGACAGTTAGCAATTGTTGTAAAATTTGAATGTCTCTTTTGCCCCATCTTTTTTGTCTCTTATATATTATTACTGACTTGAATCACTAGAAATAATGCTAACTTCTTTTTAACTTATCTTTCCTCTTACGAATGCTAATTTATTTACACGAATTAGTCAACAGTAGGTGTGGAGCTATGACTCATTGGCTTAGGCGGACGACCAATTGGTCACGGGTTGGTAGCACCGCTCCGCCTACCGAGGTCTGGGCAGTCAGATAGTACCATTATCCCTCACATAATAGGTGTGGCTCTTTGCCTACGGCGTAAATGTGCACAAGGTTGTAGGGTACATTTTGACTTCTTCACCAACCGATGTGATTGTCTAGTTCTTACTGCTTAACAATGATCGAAATATACTGATCAAGTTTCATAGTGTGGTCGGTTACAGTATTTTGGTAATAGATGAAGGGAGTCAATGGACAGGAAAGCCGTACGCCATCTGGGTTTCACACCTGTCGAGATTAATCAACAAGGAAACTGGTGTTCCCATGATGCTTCGATAGACTTCGATTGATATCAAACACTAAGGAATATACAGCTACATCGGTTCGCCACTGGTGACCTATTCGAGTACATAATCTAGTCCTACAGGAGACCAGTCATCGTTTGAATAGCCTAGTCACTGATTTCAGCACTGAGTCATGTAAGTTCAAATCACCACGGGGAACATCAGTTGCCTTATGGTCGCAGATATGTCTTCCTGATGAATGCCAACACGCACAAAACCCAGATGGTTCAGGGTTTCCTGTCAGTCGACTCCCAGCAAACTGAAATCAAAATCCTAGTTTATTGTATATAAACAAATGAACTGCACCCACATTTTATCTTGTCTTCGGCTAAAGTAAACATCTTTAGTACAACGCTGTCTTCTTTTTTATGTTCGTATTGGTATTATAACGTCCAAACAGAGGAAAGTATGAATCCGAACAGGTATAAGTTGTCAAATTATTCCATTCATCAAAAAGACATTCTTCCTAAGAATTACTTTATGCTACTTCTCTCAATAGCCCAGTTTGTTTTAACCTACGGCCTGCTTAACAAACTCAACTATCGTTGCTGGGTGATGATTGAAGATAAGATGAAAATTTAGAACCCAGCCGGATTCGAACTAGAGACCACTGGGTTTCAGGTCCAGTGGTCTACTAACTGAACTATGAGGTCCTACTGCTGATCAGATTTTTACTTCACTCCAATCACCAAGAGTTTTTCCCGACTACCATGTGAATTCATGACGCATTACTATCGTTTGATCATACGTACACTGACTGCCTAGTCAGGACTTCACGGCCCAATAAATATATATATTCATCACGGACTAACATCAGCTGGAGGACCACTGGAAACCTAGGAGCACCGGACAGCCGCCTCATCCTAGTGTGGGGCTCCTCAGCAGCACGCACCCACGACTCGGCTAGAGGTCGAACTAAGGACCTTCAGGTTTCACAGCAAACGCGTTAACCATTCAGCCACTGAGTCAGAGTTTAATGGTTCACAGTTTTCTGCTTCTGTCAATTCACGATATGGTGCGACTATCAACCAAGTCTTCCAGTTGACATCCGCTTCACTTCACGGACTAATGTCAGTCAGTAATAAATGCTACTTTAAAGGCATAAAATCCTCATTAACTTCATATATATATATATATATATATATATATATATATATATATATATATATATATATATATATATATATATATATATATATATTATTAAGACTATCTGAGATATCCATGGTTTGGCATACTTGTATTGATATTGGGTGATGACTGAGGGTGAAAAGAAAATTTGAATCTGGTCTTCGCTGGTTCTACGGTTTAATGAGTGTATTCAGTATTCAATCTATACAAATCAAATAAACAATCATAAACTTGACTGATTGATGAACGCATCATAATGTGATCTTTCATAATGATTAAACGCTTTTCAGATTCACACATAGGAAAAGCAGAATAAGTTAAAGTAATACACAAAGTTATTATTGTTATTATTAATTAACACTCACTTTACAAGTGTCTACATGAAAACATGTATTCAGGAATGAACAATCTCCAAGAGATTCTATAATATAAAAAGGTTAGTGTTATAATACAGAAATGCATTGAGAATACTTCATATTATTGACAATTTTCTGAGCTTATATCTTTTTCAGTATAGAAAACGACTGAATGATTTGATTTGTACACATAAGACATCTCAACTTGCAGGTTTGTGATTTCGAGTTGGTATTCATCACGAACTGACATCACTATTGGAAACATGGTAGCACTAGACAGTTGTTTCATCCTAGTATGGGACTCTTCAGTTTTGCATACTCATAATCCCGCCAGAGATGGAGTCCATGATCTTTGCGTCCCACAGTGAGCAGATTATTAACATTGACGCTCTGTGTCAAGATCCAATGGTCGACATTTTCCAGCTTCTGTGAATTCTCGAGGTAGCGCGGTCTTTATCCAATACTGTCGTTAAGTACCTGTTCTCATACTCCCTATATCTCGAACCGACGAAAGTATAAAGATGTGAACCAATGAATTTCCAGCCAGTGGCTCAATGGCAACGAGCTCATCATGGAATATGAAGATCCTGGGTGCTCACTGCTGAAGAGTTTCATACTAGGACAAAACAGCTGTCTAGTGCTTCCCGACTTTCAATGACGTCAGTCCATGATGAATATCACCCCGAAGAATAACAGTTCAGACAATAAACTTTAAGAAATTATGTATCGATAAATAATCGGAAAAGAAACAAAGTGATAAGGATGTATAGGAAAATGGTGACAGGATTAACAATAAATTTACTTTACTTACTAAGATCTAGAATCAAGTTAGGTACGATTGATTTGTTTGAGTTTGAAAAAAGGAATATTCCATGTTTACATCATCTTTAATCCGATTACCAGCACTATTAATTGATGTACATGGTCTTTATCTACTCACATTTTAACTTCATTCATACCATCATAAAAACAAACGCATGGAGATATGCTTGACAATTTGGTATAATGTCCAAAATAACAAACAGTTTAACTTAGTAGTCAAGTTCAGCATTCTCTCCCACCACTAGAGTAGATTAATTTACAATAAACATAATCTATATGAAAATTCCTCCGTTAAGCTAAATGTATTTTGAAAGTGTTTCGTTTTAATCGGGTTAAACAATGTTTAAATGATAGACCTAGAAAACTGACTAGTCAGTGCAAGGACCTAAACAAGGAATTGAACCCCATAAAAGAAACGCTAATAATTAATAATTATCCTTTACAGTTTACTAAGAAATTCGTACCAACATACAAGAATAGAAAAAATAACAGTAACACGAGTACGAATAATAACGATGACACAAGTAGAAGGGAGTTCACAGCCTCTATTGTGTTACCCTATAAGGAAGATACATCAGAAACTTTACGTAGGATCCTCAACAAAGCTGGAATTAGGGCGACATCTAAAACAACAAACTCACTCAGAGATAAACTTTGTCGGCTTAAGGATCCGATAGAACCAATTAAGCAAAATAATATAATCTATTAAATTCCATGTAATGACTTCAAGGTCAAGTACATAGGTCAAACTAAGCGGTTGGGGTCAATCAGAATAGCGAAACATAGGAATTTAGCTAAATATACAATGACAGACGCCAATAACATCAATAATCTAGAAAAAGGGCGGCTATTGCAATACATGCATTAATACACAACCACACAATAGGGTGGAAGAGAGAGATCGATTACTGAATCTGTTCATCGAATCAACACTCAACACATGTGATAGAAATGACGCAACACCTACACCAAAGATATGGAAAATTTTACTACCAACAAAAACAAACAACATGAGGTGACAGTGTAAGAAGACAGATACGAAGGAAGGAATGTTTATTGGCAACATGTTAAATATGGTACACCTTGCACTAAAACCGTCATTTGCAAAATATGCTTCATTTTCTTTAATACCTCTCTCTTAATTTGCTCTTCATACGCCTGCGTTGTCTCTTGCGTTTCTCTTGGCAAAATCCTTACCCATTGCTGGTAATTCCCTATGATTTCTACCACCCTCTCAACATATATTACTTATATCCATTCTTATCAGTAACGCCCACTACAACAGGACTATAAAAATCAGATATCGAAAGTGGTGTGATTACACTGATATGATTATGAACAATAATTTATGCTCGAAACATCAAGTAAATAGTACTGTACCACTCACTTTGTGTTATAAATCAAATAAACAAATTTAATATGATATACATAAGTATGAACTTATAAACATCAACTCAATTTAAGGGCAATTGCTTACCATCAGTATGTGGATGTATAATTTTACGAAAATGAAGTTTTGTACACTTTTCTCTATCTCCAGTACGAGCTTTGACCTTTGAACATTCAATCCGAGTGCCATGTGAACAAAACTGTTGTACTTGACTACCTAAACCATATTTTATTAAAAGGCATATGATTACGTAATCGTAAGGAGAAATAATATTCATCTTTGTGATCATTTTATATTCACAGTAACCATTATCTTCAGATTGTTTCTTTTCTCACACTACTCTATCCACTTCAATACCACTCCTTTTCTATCCACCTGTTCTTTGGATACTACTGTGAAGTATGACAACTTGAGGAGATGCACTTGTGTGCGAGGTTCTACGTTGTTTTTGTCAGTCAGTTTGTATTATATCATCAGTGTAACGACAGTGTTTATCAAGCGAATCAATGTTCTTAAATTTATTACTAGTTGGTAGGAAGCAATCGGCAGGAAGCCTAAGACTTAAATTTCGTGCTTGTTGGCATACGTCAGCAACGCCTATCTGCAACTTCGACGGAGTTGATGTCCCGCATGAGGTTCGAACCCGCGTCACCCAGTGTTGTAGTCAGCTACTTCAACTACTGCAAAAACAACAATTTTAAACAACCTTAACAAGAGGGAACCCAATCATCACATATTTACATAGTAAAATAAACGAGTGATCATAAAGTTACTTGAACGCCATAACTGTTCAGTATTTTACATTCATCAGTAACAGTTTGGTGTCATAACTTGAAATCCATCATTGCTGATTGAACCGAATCGGTCGATCTTTACATCCATCGCACAAGTGGCTATTGTAACACTCCGGCCCCCAAGTTCGAGTTTCAGTGGAAATTGTCACTCACCACGAAGTAGGTACATCCAGTTAACAAGCCTCAAATAGTATGAAACGCGCATCATCAGTCCCATGAATAGCTACCGCTCATTACTAGTAATAAGTTAAACATTATAGCTGCCAGTTTATAGGTGAATCGTAGGGAAAAGTAGAGTTTCCTACAATTGACGATTTTGAGTGAATCTCTAATTACTCATCAAATGAGTGTTGAGTTGGGAAAAAGCACGGTGTAGTAAAAACTTCATTTTCCAAAAAAATTGATCAAGTTTAGACCTCGTTACTATCAATCTCTTATGAAATGTAATATCTACTCTTTCAATCTCATTGCTTTTCGTTAGTAAGATGTCCGACTACTAGCTACCTGGAGAAATATTGATCTTGGTGACTAGCAGAGGAACCCGGGGAGTGCGTTTCGTCCTATTCGGAACTCGTCAGATGGACGTATCTGCAGCCCAGTGAGTGGTGTCATTCCCACCGAGGCTCAAACCCAGTACCCTTCGCTTTAAACCCTAGGACGTTATTCACTAAGCTAGTGGGGTACAATAGCCACCATCACGGATATCCGGCAGTATCAAGGCATTCGCATAGCAACCCATATGCCAACAGAGGTCAAACAATTCGGTTGTGTATAGCAACGGGAAATTATAGGTATTATTACAACATAAGTGAAGGAAGGTTTTACTAAAAATGAAGGCATTTTTGAATAACGAAAAACAAGGGTTTGATAAACATCTATACAAATAAAAGCATCCCACTTTTTCAGTATTCTGTGAAAAGGTCAATGTTCAGCAGATTGCAGCGGTACTTATCGGTTTAGTAAGCTGTTTAAATATAAGCTATAGTATCAAAATGATAAATAGACATTCAATTTATATGTATGTAAATGTCAACGCATTGCAGGCAAATCACCAAACTATTAGTTTTGGGTATTGGAAGTTAAAGTATTGACGATAAAGTTAACTCCAAGATTAATTCGATCAAGAACTAGTACCAGTTAAAAAACATATTGGAACTGAAGAATATTGGCGAGATGCACTGTACTTCAATGGAGTGATGACTGAAAGTGAAATGAAAACCAGAGTTATGATAGCGTTAGAACCATTGGCCTTTGGATTAGCAGCCCTGAACTCTACTAATTGAGCTGCGAGATATAACTACTGATGATTAAGTCTTAACCTGAATTACAAAGGGTTTTCACCGATTACCATGTGAATCCATGATAAGTAACTATCCGCCGAACACAATCATATTGGTTTCCCAGCCAGGTCCTATAGTCCACACAGAAATCGAGCTGAATTGGAGAGAGGGAGCGTCGTATTGATTATTAATGAGAATACATAACATACCCATGGTTTGGTAATTTAAGTGAATTAAAAACCTGGTCTTAGAGTTCAGTTGGAACAGCGTCAAGTCAGTAATTAAGAGGTAGCTAGTTCGAATCCTACCACGACTTGGGTCTTCCTTTTGCCGTCAATCATCACCTAGTATTAGTAATACCACATAGTCCTATTAACAACCATTACACTTCGCTGACACCTCCCTAGTAAATCCCACTTTTAGTTGTTTCCATATAAAAACAATACTTTCAGATCCTCTACCACTGAACAACTCGATCAGAATCCAATAACTACAATGATCATGTTTCTTATACGAACTAATCCATTTCAATTTTTAATGATATTCAGTAAGAACCTAGGGTCTGTGTAGAAATAGTACTGAAAATGTGTGCGTGTGTAGTGTCTTATAAAATTTGCTCTTAGAAAAGTTTATCCAGGTAAGAAACTCACCTCCCTGGGTTCGAAAGCGTTCTGTGAGAAATCTCTCCTACAAAGAAATATTTGAAACAGGGGAAAAAGAAGAGTATTTGTTAATTCACCATTGTGTTGAATAAAGTCAAAACTATCGAATAGTATGTAGTATCCACGCTTCAAATGATATAATTCCACATCGATCTCAGTGGTTCCAAAGCACCTACACATTATCATACTGAATTTCACAATTGCTTCACTCTTTCTTATTCTCTGTTCACGACTTCCTACCATTTTGATTAGTTTAGTCCTTATTTCTTTATTTCACTTCGCTACTTCCTACCTTAATGTATGGTAGGTAACGTGAATTGTTATGCAATCATGCTAGTTACTACGTTTATGCTGACTGATTGACCCACAAATATATAACAGTTAAATATCGTTGAGCGACTAAATGATGGTTCATTTTCTAAGCAATTCAACAAACATACAGTTTCATGCAAAAGGCAACCAATGGCATCTATTGAGGGTCAGTGACACTAGTTAACTTTCTAATTTCTCAGTAAAGATAGATTTCAACTTATGCCCCACTGTTTAAAAGTTAACTGTTTTAAATCAATGAAATAAAAGAATCTTGAGTCGTGAGCATATCCTGTTCTCTTGATAGGAAATAATTGATCTGAACATTTTGATATGCTAGCCTGGGCAAACCAATAACAAAGATTGACAAATATCCGAGAAAAGTTAGCCCTTGGTTAATGTCACCATGAGACCTGACATAACTACGGAACAGTTGTCAGCATATGTAACGCATACTATGACTGCCTTACTATCTACAAACAACCCTTATTCTGTGGGAAATTGATGAATTTCAAAAATAAACCTTAGAAACGACATACAGTCTCACTTTTCAGGTCATAGGCGATATCAGTAATCTGAAAGCTTACAATACCACTTGGTCTCACAGTCTTCAATAAGTGGAGTATAAATCTATAACATTAGGTTACATCGTTGACGTTATTTATTCACATAAAGTATTCAGTGAGTGTACAACTTATTGAAATCTTTGAATTAATTTGATTAGCCAGGAAGTTTTGAAACCGAGTGATTATGATGTTACCATATTAAAATACTTCAAGTTTCATCAACGTAACCTTTCACAACATAAGTAGTGTGGAAGTATCAAAAGTTTGCACATCTGTCAGCAATTAGATGTCTCCTGATCACCGATTTGCTGGATAAACTTCTGAATTTTTTTTCACTATTTTTTTCCTAATAACTCCACACTAGTATTCACTTCATCCAGTATTGTGCCATCGATTCTATTCTATGAAATACAATCTTTAGTGTCGTGAAACCATGCTCCAAAACACTGATCTGAGCACCGGACGTCCAGTGTCAAATTAGAAAATAAAATCCATCAGTCAAAAGACTGACATCTGGCATTACAGATATACATTATGCTTTAAATACACGCTCACAAGGTTGAAGGTTGGTTATTAACTTGGTCCCAACAGGCTTTTTGGGTAAGTCTATACGATTTCCGATTTACATCTCTAGAAACGTGACAGCTATATTTCGCAGGTTTAAGTATTTAACGAAATCTTGGAGCAGAAAGCGCACTTCACGATATCTTAGCTTCTAGTGGCTAGTTGGTTGACTCGTCAGTCTTTGAATACGCATTCACTGAATTGTAGCTCAAACATAGAGAAGAACGAGTTCTACTAAATAGTGACCATCACCTTACAACGAGCCAAACATTAACATGTGATCATCGTATGGTCCGGCTTCAATACACAAGTGAAGAGACCGGGAAAAGTAGAAAGATACTGAGTGACACTTCTGGAATTCAAGGCCAAACAATGGATAATGCTAACCCGTTGTCACAACTGTTTCGATAACCATCTATTCCGGTGTATGAAATGTTCAGTGCTTCCTGTCAGGATTTGGTATGCCTTTCAATTATATTCAGCTTTATTATAAACGTCTCATAAGTGATCTCCCATTCATTGCTGAAAACAAACTAATTAACAGTATACAAGTGACATAGTCTTGTTAAATAAAAATGTCGAAGAAGTACGTTATCTTTTGGAGATCCGGAGTGACAGTTTGGGAATATTTGTGATGCGTATCTCGCCCACTGTATGCGACTTGTTGATTCAGAACTGATCGGTATTAAAGTTATATCTGAGAAGATAGAATGAAGTATACGGCTATTCTGACCCAGTAACTACTAACAACAACCTTGAACGCCGACGAAATTTCTGCACGGATACATAACCCTAGACTGGATTGCGCCGTTCGCCTCGCAAAGAATGCTGACTAAGTACTGAATTTACTGCATAACAAATTATCAACCCACAATTACCGCATAGTTCGACTGTTTGTCATACAAGGACAGTGTTAGGAATAGGTTGTTCAGTCTGTAGGCCCATTATTTTACGTAGTTCTGGTTACATACTATTAGATCTACACGGTGGTTTGTAATGAATATAATTGTTGATTCTGTTTCTCATATGTTCGTTGTCAAATACTAGTTAGCCAAATTCAGACTAGCAGTAGGGAGTTTATCGAAAATAGCAAACCTAGCCAAAGCTTCTGTCATATCTCTTTTCGTTAATATTTAACAAAAGACAATTTAGTGAAGAAATTCTCCTTTCAATGAGTCATTTTCAAAAGCTGTACATCGTAATCATAGTTACAAAAAATGTATCCATCAATAGCTAATGGGTCAATATGAAATCATCAAAAAACAGTCAATTAAGTCACAAGGTGATAACGGCCAGAAGGTCAACTCTCAGGGTCATCAAAAGACTACAATAGATAAACAAACACTAGACAAAGAAATGGATGAAATGCCTTGCGGAGATTACGACTAAGGCAAAATTAGACACTGGATGTATTTCTTTTGATCAGGACTGTACCACTGAGTTGCCAAAGCCTTTGCTGCTTTGAGGTGGAGAACATGCACTTGGAAATGTTTGACTTCACTTCGGTCACTTTGCTTCACGAGAATCTTCTGTCAAATTCATTTATAAAGTGAAATCAAACATTTCGAAGGGAGTGCATATTCGCCACATCAATACAGCAAAGGCTTTGGAAATCTAGTGGTACAACCCTGATCTTTGCGTTCAAAAGAGATACATTCAATCTCCAATTTTACCTTGGTCGCAATCTCTCTGAGACACTTCATCCATTTCTTTGTCTAGTGTTTGTTTATCTATTGTAGTCCCACTTTTGATGATCCTGGGTATTGATCTTCTGGTCGTTATCATCTTATGACTTAATCGACATTTTATGATGACTTCATATTGACCCATTAGCTATTGATGGATACATTTTTTGTAACTATGATTACGATGTACAGCTTTTGAAAATGATTCATCGAAAGGAGAATTTTCTTCACTCAATTGTCGTTTGTTAATGTTTTTTTTTATCTAAAGGGACTAGTTCGATAGCTAATATTTACTGAAGATCAATAATCACAAAGTAGGAAGAAAAAGAACTCACTTTAGTGGACTGTCTATTCAGCAATTCCATAACCTCTTCTCGAATACGTTTACTTTCTTTCTCACGAGTGGTTTCAGCTCCCAACAGATTTTCCAACTCAAGTTCTATCCTTTGAGAACCTTCTTTTTGACCAGCAGGATTAACTTTATTCACCGTAGACTTATTTTTCTCCTGTGTTGACTCATCTTGAAGTTGTTTAGTGCCAGCGGTTTTTGATGAATCATTTTTTTGTACTAAAGCTACAGGTTTTCTCTCTGAACATAAATCCAATGAATGCTGACTACGATCTTTAGATTGTTCACTGTAATAGAGACGATTAAGCGTGCACTTAAAATATTAATCGAGTTAAAACTTGGTTAATCGGTACTTGATCTAAACCTGCAGCCCATTATTATGAAGATGTGTCATACTTTGAAATGATTACACAAAACGCGAAATTAATGACAAGAGGATAAATGAAGAAAATAATAGGTTGAGTAAAAAACATGTAACACATCGGAACGGTGCAAAAAAATTCACAGTACGAAAACACTCGTTACTTGAGGTAAAAGCAACTTAAATTCGATGTGTATGACGCCTAAACTGAGACTATATAATTCAGTGGTTTTGTGTACCCTGTTTTGATGACACACCTTTCTTTAAAATGACTTCAAGAACCTCAGAATCTTCGTATATCGGAGTCATATTATCGTTTGACCATAGACAAACAGATATGCAAAATCAACGTAGAACCTCTCATACAAATGGATCGATTCAAATTGCCGCAATTTACAATAGTATACGAAGAATAAGGGGATACAAAACTTTGTGTGAGAGAATAAACAATCTGAAGACAACAGTCCAAATATCCAAATTTTACAAGACATTAAAGCGTGAATATATCCACACTATTGTAACCGGTTCTCATCCAGCCCATGTCATCAACAGTCCTCAACCACTGATTCCTTTCGTCTCGGTGATCCCAGCCGAACGGTCTACACCTATCCATATGGCTCTGACCAACAGTCAGGGACTTCACCGACTGGCACCATGTCTTGGTCTGGCTACCCTGAACCCTCTTTCAGTATAATCCAACTTCCCCTAGCATGGCAAGTCAAGGCAGGCAGAGGATCGGCATATGAAATACGTGTTCAAGCCATCTCAGTCGACAAAAATTCTCAACCTCATCAACTGACTCGCATGTACTGCCTAGTTCCCTTCGCTTGACCTCAACATTGCTCATATGGTGACTTCACAAAACGTGAGCAATGCTACGAAGACGTTTGTGATCAAGACCCTGTAACCGCTTACTGTCTTCCTTTGATCAGATTGAGGACAGTTTTATCCTAGTCTTAATCCACACAGCCACAACATGTAACCAACTCTATTTCATCCATCGCAGTGATGGAATCCTCAAAAATTAAACTGTAACCGAAATCCTTTTTTGGATTGATGCCACGAGCACAAACTATTGCTTATAGTCATATCAAAGTAGTTACATATTTTCTGATATCCAGTTTTTACAGTCCTGTCACCTCACATTATTTGTGGCATTAAAATCTTCCACATCTCCAGAAGAGGTGTTGAGCCACTTTTACTACATGTGTTGGGTGTTGTTGATTCGATGAACAAAGGTTCGGTTGTCAACTTCTCTCTACACCTAACAAACTATACTGAACTTCAGTACACTTGTTTTATCCCAACTTATTGCATGGTTGTGTGTCAGTCCATGCATTACTACAGCTGAGTTTCTTCTAGATTATTGATCCCAGTGAGGTCTAATATTCAAAATTTGGCTAAATTCCTATACTTTGATAATCCAACTCATGTTGATCGGCTAGTTTGACCTCAAAGTCATTTTATGCAAGTTGATGGATCAAATGATTTTGTCTGATTGGGTCAACTGGATTCTTATTAGGTCGATGAAGTTTACCTCTGAGTGAGTTTATAGGTTTGAATGCCACCTACGTTCCAGCGAAGTCGAAAATGTTCCTTTCAAAATAGGTGGAGCAGTGGCCTATTGGTTTAAACAGTTGACTTGCACCCAGTAGGTACACTGGTGCTGATAACAAACGAATTATAAACTATAAATGTTCAAAACTTTTTGAATTATAATATGACTGTGACCACAAACAGCAGCAGACAACTCCATAAGATATGCAGATCTTGCAACGCGGTTAACACACTCGTAAGTACTGAAATCACACCTAGTTACAGTAGAAGACATTCACTATTAGTAAATTCATCAATCCTAAACTAAGCTTTTCAATTGTTATCATATTGTCACAAACAAACTGAAATAAAACCACTCAAAAATAATCAGTTTGAAGATGAGCATAACAGTTGAATTACTTACTTACCTGAATTGTCTATTCGATGAATTTTCCATTCCAGAAGAGGCTATACATCAAATTAATATTTTTAATTACCAAACAGTCAAGAAAGTAAGAAAAGAAAACTTATGAAATAAACCAGAATAACAAGTAGTCAAATACTAAACACACCAAACCGGATATTTTATCAGTGGTCAGGTTAATTTCCCCACATAAAAATAACAACATACCTAGTAGTTCCAACTTAGATTCCCTAAAAACATATACCAGACTCTAATATTTACCCTAAGATATCTGATAAAACTTGTTAACCATTAGAGATGATAAATGAATACTGGTTTTATAGTTAGTATGCTTCGTCGCACTCATGGTTATAGTCTATATTAAACAGTTAAAAGTGTATACCACAACATGAAAATGGATAAATGACGAAGCTGTAACGAAATTCAGCTTGAATACACCATTTCCTGTTTATTTTGCACATACTACAAAGATATAATTCTGATATGTAGATGATGGGTTTACAGTACTGAAATCGGATCACATCAATAGGTTCTTGATACACAAATTCAGTAGTGAATCCAATTCAATTTATTTATGACTCAGAAAGTGATGAAGGTGGGCTAGCAATGTTGGATTGCAAGATTAAGCGAACATAAGACGGAAGTTTAAAGAATGGTACCTATAGGAAACGTTCCCACTTGAATAGCTACTTAGACTTCAAATCACGTCACCCATCTCAGTTAAAATAGGCTTAGTTAAATGTCTAAGTAATAGGGTAAAAAGCTTACTAATAAGACAGAAAATCTACAACAAGAAATTAGACACATCAAGAAAACCTTACGTCTCAATAAAGACCCACCAAAATTTATAAATAAATTCATAAGAAATCAAAAGAAAAGTGTTAGTAGTAACACAGGTGTTGTTGGTAATAATTCTACTACTAATAGTAATAATAGTGACAGGGTTGAGAGCGAAGTCAAAGCCTCCACTGTGTTACCATACAAAGAAGGCACCTTAGAACATTACGAGGAAATAAGCATTTAAACCAGCAAACTGGCTTAGAAACATGCTTTGTAGGTTAAAAGATACTATTGATACAATTAGGCAAAATGATATGGTTTATTAAATCCCTTGCAATGACTGCGAGGTTAAATACATAGGTCAGAGTAGTCGATCAGGGTCAATTAGAATAACAGAGCACAAAAACGTGGCTAAATCAAGATTAGCAGATCCTAACAAGATAAGAAATTTAGAGAAAAACTCGCCTATAGCTATGCACGCAATTTCACACAACCACGCAATAGGGTGGGATAGAGCGAAAGTATTAAAAAGTAATTTAGATGGTTGTAGAGAGAGAGAGATGGATAACGAATCTTTTTTTATCGAATCAACACCAAACACAAGCAAAAGAAATGATTCTGCACCTGTCTTAGATATGTGGAAAAGTCTACTGCCCTTACCATAAGAAGGAGAGATTAGAACCATATAAACTGTCTCAAAGTTATGAACAATAAATTATATCAAAAACGTTATTCGTTAAATAATACTGTTTCACTGTGTGACAATTTTAATAAACAGATTAAAATGGAATTATAATCTACCACAGTGCCCAAGTTTTACTCTCATATTTTGAACACAATTCAACGAATTTTGGGACAAATTTCTCCTAGTAATTTTAGCTAGTCCTTTTAGCCTCAACAACTGCTACATGCAAATATGAATAGTAATTTTGCGCTGTTCGTTAGTTTGTTCATTCATTTCTTCACGATATCGTTATTTTCCGTACATATTCCCTTAAAAAATAACAATTATTATCTTGTGTGAAAACTAGTGATAGTCTCACACTATAATCAGATCATTATCTAACATACATGCTTTATGGGGACGCCGATCACCAGCTTTGAAATTCAGCTTTCAAGAGATGAGCATAGAGCTGTAAACCTGTTACATCGACTACTTCATGAATAACCGAGTAGTATTACAACAACCTCTCCCACATATGTATTTGTACAGTAAGACAAATACCATCAAAAAATTTAGGTGCACTGGGCTATCAATGACAACTAGAGATTATGATAAACTTATGATACTGCGTCACTGCCAAAGTGGAGTTAGGTGGGGCAAGGAACCAACACAAGATTAATTATATAAAAATCAGACGGTAAAGCTCATGCACCATACATCAAAATTGGAAAACATACACGACTAAATCTATTTGCACCAACCATGTACAACTTCAATCTCGCATAGTTAACTAGTCCACTAGTTACTAGCCGCTCCTAAGCCCGGGTAAAGAGGGAAGGTTGGGCATAGGGCTACCAACACATCCCCGTAAAACCAATCCAGTCGCTAAAGAAACTTCAAAGCACAAAGAAATTATAAAAAATAAAAATAAAATTATTCCTCGCTGGAATCGGAAAGACGAAATGACGCCGGTTGGTGAAAGCCTTCGCGAAGCCAATTCACCTGTGTGTCTTCTCTCGATAAAAGCGAAAGTAAACGTGGGGACATGGAATGTCCGCACGATGTTTGAATCCAGCAAGGCTGCCCAGATTGCAGACGAGATGAAGAGGTATCACATTGAAGTGCTTGGAATTTGCGAAAGCAGATGGAATGGGAGTGGACTGTCCAAACTGTCAACTGGAGAATCAATAATCCAGTCCGGTCACCCAAACGACAACCTAAGGCACACTGAGTTTTTGAGTGGCTATCATGATGTCCCAAGCGCATCGAAGGCTCTCATGCGGTGGGACCAATCTCCTCCAGGATCATGACAGCAAGGTTGAACTCAAAAGGAAGGAAGGTCACAATCATACAATGCTACGCACCTACGAATAATGCAGAGCAAGAGAAGAAAGAGGAATTCCACAGACAACTTCAATCAACACTGGACAAGACCTCAGTTGGCGATATCAAAATTCTAATGGGCGACATGAGTGCCGAAATGGGAGGGGACAACACAGAAAGAGAACTGATCATGGGTCGAGAATTACTCGGTGAAATGAACGAGAATGAAGAACTGTTTGCAAACTTTTGAGTATTCAACGATTTGGTGATTGGAGACAGTCTGTACAAGCGCAAGGATATTCATAAAGCGACAAAAGCAGAAGCGAAGTCCTAAATGCCATAAAGTCGCTGAAATCAGGGAAAGCAGTAGGACCAGAAGGATTTCTTCTAGAAGCACTGAAAACAGATGCAGAAAAAACAGCGGATATGCTCACACCACTAATGCATAAGGTTTGAAGGGAAGGAAAGATACCTACCAATTGAAAGAAAAGCTACTTTGTCAAACTCTCAAAGGGCGATCTAAGTCTTTGCAACAACTGGCACAGAATCACTCTCCTGTCCACCCCAAGCAAAATATTATGCCACATCATCCTGGAGAGACTAAACGATGCTCTTCATTCAAAATTACGACCGAAACAGGCTGGCTTCAGGAAGAAAAAATAAAATGCGGATCAAATTGCAACGCTACGCGTCATCATAGAACAGAGCATAGAATGCCTGTCAACTCTCTATCTCAACTTCATCGATTTTTAAAAAGCCATCGAAAGAGTCGATCGAGAAGTAATTTGGCAGGCAGCTGCTTCAACACTACGGTTTCAGTGCCACAAATCTTTGTCAACCTCATTCAAAAGCTATATGAAGACGACTCATGCCAAGTGATTTACTATCATAATTGTTATTACGATTATTATTATTATTATTATTATTATTATTATTAGTCCCTTGGGTTCCTATTGGAACATAGGGCTTCAGTAGCACGTCTCCATTCCACTATCTTCTCTGCAATCTTTTCAACCTGGCTCCACAACTGCCCACAAGCTCTCATTTCCTCCTCGCACCATCTCCTCCATGTCACCCTCGGCACCGACGTCCAACTCGTCGCTTCCCATCGGGGTTCCACTCGAGCAACTGGCCTGACGCGTGATGTCCCCAGTCGGCCTTCTCAGTGTATGCCCAATCCATCTCCATTTCCTTCCACCGCATATTTGTTGGGTGATAGGTTCTCCGTTGGTTCCTTCCCAGAGCTCCTTGTTGCTTATTCTGATTATTCTGGCCATCTGATCTTCAGTAACGAGCCAGCGTAAGCAGTTGTTGATGAATGCCTGTAGTTTATTGGAAATCCCTTTCGTAACGCGCCAAGTCTGAACCATATAGAAGCACGGACTTGACGTTGGTGTTGAGAATCCGGATCTTGTTCACATTCCAGGCTGAGTACAGAAGATCTCCACACTGGTTTCAGGCTAATGAACGCCTATCTTGCTTTTCCGATTCCGATTCTGACTTTGACATCCTCGTCTGTGTCTCGCCTGTAGATGAAACAGTGCTTCCTAGATAGGTGAAAGAGGTTACTTCCTTTAAGTTTCTCCCGTTCATGGTGATTGGAGCTTGTTGTTGTTGTTGGAGTGGTGGCGCAGTATCTTCATTACTTCTGTTTCTCTATATTCACGTGAAGTCCCGTCTTCGCTGCCTCTCCTTTTCTGCCAACTTGTTAGTTTTCGGCTGTAGATCATCAAGTTTTGTGACATCAGACACAAGTCATCGGCGAAATCCGATCTTCTAGGTTCTTTTCTGCAGTCCAGCGTATCCCCCTCTTCTCACACCCCACTGTTTGCTGCATGATCCAGTCCAGTCGACCACAATCAGGAATATCATGGGGGATAGTGGACAACCTTGGTTCACTCCTGTCTTCACTTCAAAATCATCACTGAGCTTCCCATTGTGAATTGGCGTCTTCATATAGTTGTTGAATGAGGCTGATAAAGGTTTGCGGTATTCCATAGTATTGAAGCAGTTTCCAAATTACCTCTCGGTCGACGCTGTTAAAGGCCTTCTCAAAGTCGATAAAGTTGAGGTGTAGAGTTGACTGCCATTCTATACTCTGTTCTATGATGATGCGTAGTGTAGCGTTGCAATTTGGTCCGCACATGATTTGTACTTCCTGAATCCAGCCTGCCTGTTCCGGTCGTAGTTTTCAATCCAGTGCATCCTTTAGCCTCTCCAGGATGATGCGGCTTAATATTTTGCTCACTTGGGGTGGACAGGAGAGTGATTCCACGCCAGTTCTTGCAAACACTGAGGTCTCCCTTCTTCGGCAGTTTGACAAGGTAACCTTTTTTCCAATCACTAGCCAGGTACCTTCTCTTCCTTCCACACCTTCTGCAATAGTGGTGTGAGCATGTCCGCTGTTGTCTCTGCCTCGACTCTCAGTGCTTCTGGTGGGATCCCATCTGGTCCTGCTGCTTTCCCGCATTTCAGTAGCTCTATGGCGTTCAGGACTTCCATTTTTGTTGGAGGATTTATGTTCACTTGTAGTTCAGCCGCTGTAGGTGGTATTTCTGGACGAAGTGCAGGTAGTGGTGGTGGTCGATTCAAGAGCTTCTTGAAGTGGTCGGCCCATTGTTTCCTTTGTTCCTCTTCTCTCGTAATTAAATTTCCGTCATCATCTTTTATTGGTTTCGTCTGCGTTGATCTCCTCCCAGATAGTAACCTGGTTATTTGATACAATGTTGTCAGGTCTCTGTCTCTCCTACCAGCCGCAGCCTGTTCTGCTTCACTTGCCAGTGTTTCGTAGAAGTGTCTTTTGTCTTTGCGTGCACTCTTCTTCACTTCTTTCTTCAGTGTTTTATACATTATACTCAGTTCCTCTTCTCGTTGTTCATCCTTGCACTGCTTTATCTTCTGCTTCAACATCCTCTTCTCCTCTATCAGCTTCCCTGTGTCCGTCGAGATCCATTCCTTATCTCCTTTCTTCTTCCTTCCTAATACGGCTGTACAGGTTTCTTTCCACATAGCTTTCAAAGACTTCCAGTGTTCTTCCACACAAATCTCTTCAGGGATGTTCCTCGATATCTCCCATTTTGTCTTGATGGCTGACATGAATATTTCCTTTGTAGTTTCGTCCTTCAGTTCCTGAGTGTTGTACTTCAACTGCGGTCTATCAACAACTTCCTTGAAGGCTTTTAACTTGATTTTGAAGGTCCCTTGCACTAGATAGTGGTCTGAACCTACATCTGTTCCTCTTCTTGATCTTGTGTCAAGTAAACTGCGTCTCCACTTTCTTGACATTGAGACTTAGTGTGTTCATCTGGTGAAATCCATGTCGCTTTGTGGATATCCTTGTGCTTGTACACACTGTCTCCAATCACCAAATCGTTGAATACTCAAAAGTTTGCAAACAGTTCTTCATTCTCGTTCATTTCACCGAGTGTTTCTCGACCCATGATCAGTTCTCTTTCTGTGTTGTCCCCTCCCATTTCGGCACTCATGTCGCCCATTAGAATTTTGATATCGCCAACTGAGGTCTTGTCCAGTGTTGATTGAAGTTGTCTGTGGAATTCCTCTTTCTTCTCTTGCTCTGCATTATTCGTAGGTGCGTAGCATTGTATGATTGTGACCTTCCTTCCTTTTGAGTTCAACCTTGCTGTCATGATCCTGGAGGAGATTGGGTCCCACCGCATGAGAGCCTTCGATGCGCTTGGGGACATCATGATAGCCACTCCCTCAGTGTGCCTTAGGTTGTCGTTTGGGTGACCGGACTGGATTATTGATTCTCCAGTTGACAGTTTGGACAGTCCACTCCCATTCCATCTGCTTTCGCAAATTCCAAGCACTTCAATGTGATACCTCTTCATCTCGTCTGCAATCTGGGCAGCCTTGCTGGATTCAAACATCGTGCGGACATTCCATGTCCCCACGTTTACTTTCGCTTTTATCGAGAGAAGACACACAGGTGAATTGGCTTCGCGAAGGCTTTCACCAACCGGCGTCATTTCGTCTTTCCGATTCCAGCGAGGAATAATTTTATTTTTATTTTTATAATTTCTTTGTGCTTTGAAGTTTCTTTAGCGACTGGATTGGTTTTACGGGGATGTGTTGGTAGCCCTATGCCCAACCTTCCCTCTTTACCCGGGCTTAGGAGCGGCTAGTAACTAGTGGACTAGTTAGCCAGGCGAGGTTACATGGCAAGTGATTCATAATGGAAAATTCAGTGACGCCTTTGGAGTGAAGACTGGAGTAAGGCAATGCTGTTTACTATTACCGATCATCCTCCTGATTGTGGTGGATTGGATTGGACTGAATTGGGTCATGCAACAGACAACTGCAAGGAGCGAGAAGAGGCTCATACGCCAGCTGGGCCGATGAAAAGACCCGAGAAGAAGATTTGGATTTCGCCACCGATGATGATTTGTGTCTAATATCGCACAAACTCGACGATCTACAGGTGAAAACCAACAGTTTCGCAGAAGAGGCGAGGTAGCAAAGACGAAAGTTCCCTCAGGTGAATGTAGAGAAGACAGAGGTGATACCCAACCAACAACAACAAGCACCAATCACCATCATCAATAGGAGAAATCTGAAGGAAGTAGTCTCTTTCACCTACCTGCCTAGGCAGCATCGTTTCAACTACAAGCGGCACAGGCACAGATGTGGATGTCAATGCCAGGATCAGAAAAGCAAGACAGGCCTTCATCAATCTGAAATCGGTATGGAGATCTACTCCACTCCACTGCAATCCACTCAGCATAAAGCGTCAACAACATCCGGATTTTCAACACTTATTCGGTCAAGTCAGTCAGTGCTTCTATGTGATAGTTCAGAGACTTGGTGCCTTACGAAAAGCATTTCCAACAAACTACACACATACATCATCAACAGCTGCAACGTAAGCTCACTCGATGCTGACACTGAAGATCAAATGGCCAGAATAATAATAAGCAACAAGGAACTCTGGCTGGCTGTCAACGAACCAAAAAAACAACCAACCGTCCAACAGACATGCAGGGGAAAGTTGAGATGGATTGGATTGAACATACACTGAGAAGACCATTTGGGGACATCAGGCGCCAGGTCGTTGAGTGGAATCCGAATGGGAAACGACGAGTTGGGCGTCCCAGCTGAGGGTGACATGGAGGAGATGGTGTGAAGAAGAAGTGAAAGCTTCTAGGCATTCGTGGAGCCAGGTCGAAAACACTGCAGAGAAGAGAGTGAAATGGTGACGTGCTGCTGAAGCCGTATGTTCCATTGGGAACCAAAGAGACGAATAGTGAAAAGAATTTACAACTTCACTTCGTTATAAATCACCTTTTTGTGTCTAGGTGAAAGGTTTTACTTAACTGTTGAATGAGTAAAACACCGATGAACAATGAACACTTGCTTAGTAGATGGAATACTTAGATACTTTAGGAACCAGGGCTTAAATTAGGCCTGAGTGTTAAACGGTGTTCTCTTCCGTACCATCTCAGCCTAGGTATTTACTATGAATATGGATTGAATTCAATACTTCATAAAAAAAGTGATATGTGTGAAAGAAGAAATTCTCCGTTACTTCATAAGACCGATGACTTAATTCACTTTTACCTCGGTCGGTGTATAACTCGAATAATCACATTGAAGCAGACACTACATAAGACGCAAATTAGCACGACTGATTTATATACATTTTTCTATCCTATGATGGTCAAACAACCGTAGCATCTTAGAAAATAATGGTCTTGATTACAATACTATAGTATGTTAATATGATTGTGAACCTTCATCAACTCAGATGGCTGGGACTTGTGTTGCATAACACCTAGCCAGAAGAAAGTGGAGATGGATTGGGCACACACCGAGAAGGCCGATTGGGGACATCATGCGTCAGGCCCTCGAGTGGAACCCAGATGGGAGGTGACGAGTTGGGCGTCCGAGGGTGATATGGAGGAGATCGTGCGAGGAAGAAATGAGAGCTTGTGGGCGTCGCGGCGACAGGTTCAAAAGATTGTAAAAGAACAGAGTGCACTGGAGACGTGCTACTGAAGTCCTATGTTTCATGAGGAATCTAAGGGATAAATAATAATAAATCTACTTCAACGTGTAAGGAAGAAAGATGGCCATACTAAAACGTGAAATTGGTCCATAAAGTCTATAATTGCTGGTCTGAACCGTGTCAAGAAATATACACTTCCAGGTTAAGGGTTAAGCGATAACTGAAATTGGTGGTTGCAGAATTGATCAAAGTGGCACATGTTCATTGAAGCTCTGTCTTCATCCTGATGGTTATATTATATTTTGCTATTTACCTCTACCCATCTTCTCTTCACATGAATTTTTACAAGTTTTGGTTGCGTTTCTACATTTCCCTCTTTCGTCTTCTCGCCGTATAACTTGACATGCTTATGTGTGATATTGCAACTTGAACTTCTGTGCAGTAACTCCAAGTTCCATATTAATACTGAATGACCAGGTATGTGAAACTGACGCTAAAATGTATAGACTACTCTTCTAGGTTGCCGATACGCTACTGACTAGTACGAGCAAATAGAAACATTCAGGAATGAAATGAAAGATTCCGAACTTATGACTACGCATAGCTGTAGGAGCAGCATTAAGTAAACACTGATAATATATGAGATTGTTAACAAGTCATATTAAATCAAATCAAAAAGTATGCAATAATAATAATAATAACAGAGACTTACTGGATTCATCAGGTAAATCAGTAGGAATATCTATTTTTTGGAGATCATCGGTACAAAACTTCGTATTTAATTTATTATGTGAACTGTTTTCACTAGGACAACAATTAGGTGGTGAGCTGGACAATCCAGATACCGACGACATGTTAGATTGGGCGTTGGTTGAAACTGTTTGAGACACATCCGTCGGGTTGCTGTCAACACGTTTCTTTTTAAATGCATTTCCAAAAAGTGAGGTAGCTGATGAGTTAACACCAAAGGACTTGTTAAATGAGCCAACTCCACTGTTACCAGTTAATAGTAAAGAACTTGAAGTTAAATTTTTGGTAGGATGAGTGACTGAGGCCAAAAGTTGGCGTCTCGCAGCTAGGCGTTCTCTCAAAGAACTCTGCTTGGCTTTAGCTGCTTCAATGGAATCTAAAGCGGAGCAGTCAGTTGAGGCTGTGGGTTCCTGTGCCTTTCTATGCATCTGTAAGATTAAGAAAAAAAGCCTTCCAAAATCTATGTGCGAATTGTTTCACAGTATCCTAAATCTGCATAAAAATGCTAGTTTTAATTAGTTTCATTCACTACAGATAGATCAACGTAGAACCTGAGAGCAGTGCATCAGTTTAAGTTGCCATACTTCATGGCACCATGAAATGAAGTGTGTATAAAAAGTGATATCAAGGTAGACAAAAGGTATGAAGAGACACAATAAATGGGCGAAAGTTAACAAAAAGTTCGAAACTTTGACACAGAATGCACACACTTGCGCCATTGCGACCGATTTTCGGCTGTCATTGAGTCTCCAACCACTGATTCTTATCATTTCTTGGATACCAGCCTGACGACCTAAATAGTTTAGACCAACGGTCAAAGACTTCATCGACTTATGCCAAGTTTTGGTCTGGCGATCCTTAGTCTTCTTTTAATTCAATTCTACTTCAGCTAGCATGCCATGTCAAAGTAGGCGGTGCTTCAGCATGCCCCAGTACAAGCTTTCATTGACTAGATATTCATATCATTGAAAAGGACCTCGAACCTAAAGTACACTTCTCTACCACCAACTTAACCATTAAAATAATGGGTAACGTACAACACCGGAAGTGACCACATGTTTTAAGTATGACCTCTGCAGTTAGTATGACAAATGAATAAGTTATTTTGTTACTCTGTAAATTAAACGGGAGCGGCATGAATTGTCTGAAAGCTGAAATTATTCATGATAATGCCAATATGAAAGTAGTAATCGAACACAAATATCTTGTTGCATTGGAGTCACTCCTAAATATTCTAAGAGGTTTTAGTGTTTTATTTTCCCACAGGTGTGCAAGTGAAGCAATAAGTTCAAACATTATACGTAAACTGTAACTAAATCTCAGTCGATAATTAGCTGCATATTATCCGACCGAAGGTTTCTGCAGCAGCTTAGATGGAACACAAAATACACTGATATTTTGAAGCTGTTACAAATTTCGACAGCGTAATTAGAAGACGAAGTTTATCTGGAAAATGTGATGTATTTGCGCAATTCATTTCGAACAATCTGACCACACATTTACTTGTCATGTCAATATATATTAAACCAAAGAGTGGGAGGAAAAATACAAAAATTAACACAATAGGGGATTAAAATTACGAAAGATGAGAACAAACAGGAAGCGACATAGTTGACCCTAATCTTGGTAAAAAAACAGAATTTACCAGGGTAAGCGTAGTGTAACAACAAATTACTTTTGTACACAGAAGTGGTTTCAATTTGTGTATGGCTATGGCTTCCGCAAATCTCAGTCCCTGTTTTTATATAAAACTCTGCAAGCTGTTTGAACATTTTTGACCTGTTTCTATGATATTTTTAGCTATAGATGAAGAGGGTCGTCTCCCACCAGCTTTCATCACGGTTTCACATTCCATCTCTTTTGAAGTCACTTAGGTACATGTTCTCCCACACTCAACTGCATGGCTCGATTATTCTCCCCTATGTATATGTGACTAAACACACATGTAAATTGGTAAACACAGTGGAACATGAAGCAATCATTGATGCAGCGTTTGGGTTTTTGGTGAAGCATGTGTTCTGGTTTTTCCACAATGATAAGATTGGCTGCGTAATATGTTTTCTTGTTGGCCGATGTCAGTCTGCGTCTCCAAATGATGCTATTCAACTCCCCTTTGTATGATAGCGTGATATAGACGCTTATATTAGGGACTGTGTATAGAGTTTGCTTCACTGCTACTTGACCTCTACAACGGTTTATAAACTTCAAGGGTATATTAATTTTCAATAAGTGTTTTGGTTAGTAATTTGATATCGTCATCCACCGTATCTCATGTCCTGATACGATAGATCTTATTAAACAGGCATTTTTACTAAACCTCACTTGTAGTGGACTAGACAAAAACTGGGAAAATTCAGGTACTGTCCTGTCCATGTAGGCTTTCTGTAAACTGACTGTCTTACCCAACCATCTTTACGTCGACTCAAGAGTATAACTAAGAATGATAGATGATTATTATTCTCTTTCTCACAAGCCAGGCTGATGTGAGTTGGCAAGGTGTTAAGTATTTTTAGTAGACAAGCCATATCCTCATGCGTTTCACAAATCACTATGATGTCTTCAAAATACCTCTGGTAAAAATAAACTTTAGTGATTAGATCACCAGCCAGACTTTCGCGATATGACACATAAATATCAGCCAGTAGTGGTCCTAAAGGACTACCCACAGCTACACCGTCAACTTGTCGAAAGCGTTTACCTTCAAACGTTAAGTGGACTTTGTCGGCAGACAGCAATAATAGCTCCCTCAGAAAGGTTGGAATAAAAGGAAATAGGAGGTTTCTAGATATACAGTCACAGAGAATGCTAATATTCTTCGACAATGGCAAGTTTGTGAATAAGGAATTTACATCGAAAGAGTGTATAATCTTGTTTTTATATTCATGTCACTAAAACAGTCAGCAATTTGAAAAGAATCTTTCAATGGAAACTTGACGGATTCATTTCGAACTGGATTTAACATTTTCACCAGCTATTTCGCCAGTTTGTGTGGGAAAACGACACATAGACAATATAGGGCGTAAGGGATTATTAGCTTTAGTAATTTAAGGATTACTTATTTAGCACTAACGTGCAGCTAAAAATAAACGCATCCCGCGGGACGCGTTTGCTTACCTAAACCCTCAGAAAGAAAAACTAAAAAAAGACAAGGAAAAACTGCTTGGCTTCTCTAAAGTTTGTTAGTGTGACCGGAGGATGTTTGGGATTATGCCCGAATTTTCCGAAGCGTGGTCGAACTTAGTCCTGGTGAGCGGTGACGATAGGTTACCGCATAGCGTGCACGCTGCCTGATAGAACGACTCAGGATCCCCTTGGATTCTCTACAAAAATCTATATTTAAGTTCAAAAACATATATTTCAGCTAGCCTAAGGCATGACAAATCAAAATAATCAAGTAATCGCGACACTACATTTATTGTACATAACAACAGATTGGGGGGATTTAGGTTTTAATATGTTTACTGATGTAAAAGTACCTTTTGTTAAAGAAGTAGATGGGTTTTTCCAGAATGCATAAAAAAATGACTAAGACCAGCGGAAAGTAAATCCACAGTACGGCCTCTAGCCAACCTTCATTTGCAGCGTCACTTCTAATTGAGCGGCAATTTCTCATTTTCAATGAAGCTACTACAAACAGTTGGTATTGGAATAGGAGATGCTGTCGCTTAACAGCCTTACTTGTCTAACGGCAGCGAACAGTAAACCTTTTGACTATAAACTAATGCGCACGTAAAGAGGGAGGGGGAGGGTAGACAACGGTTAAGGCTGTTAAAGCAAGTTAGGTAGAGTTATTAGAAGACGATGGTTATCTGATACATGTGTGATATATTAGCTCTAAAACTTTCCAATAGTTTAGTTGTATATGAAATTTTCGAGTTATCAATATGGAGATTTATGGAAATGATCGATGAAATCAATCAGAAGAACACGAATAGGGAGGGGAGAACCCAAACTAAATCATACCACTTTCGGTATAAAAATTAAAATCAGTACTTCCACGGCAGGTTCAGCGTGGTCACAGACTGTTCCTCTATACAAAAAAGGGACCCGAATCTATGCTTCATCAAAGCTTGAACATGCTTAAGCTCTCTAGTGTGTTTGACAACAGATGAAGGTAGACTTTTGTTGCCTCCACCCATCGAATCTGTTGAGGCCATTTTCTTTGCAAGCTACTTAGGTATTTCTACCATCCTTAGCTGCATGTCATGAATAATCCCCCTCATGCACTTGTCCACGTTTAAATATAAGCTGCGAAGTGGTGAGGTGCTGGCGCAACCGCTCATGTTATTTTGGTTGTAACGGGAACTTTGTCTTCCTCTAATGAGGCGAAGGGTTCTTGATATTTTTGGGGATGGAACACTGTATTCTTTTAAATGCTGCATTAAGTTTGCACTTGTTGACAAATTTCAGCGGGCAGCCATTCTCCATGTGTTGGTCTCATCTTCCTCCTTGCCATTGGTGTAGATGTGGCCAGATCTGCTGAATCAGAATCTAAACCATACTTATAATGGACTGGAGAACAACTAAGGAAGCTAATACACTGCCCAGTTTGCGCAGCTATCCTGCAAATTGTCCTTCTAATCCAGCCATTTTCCTATCAATTAAGCAGCATGTCACGAAACAGAAGCTGATCGTTCGACTCGTCTTATTATGATTGAGCTCCTGCTACATTGCATTCAGGTAGCAAGTCAGCGTTTAAAGTGTTCGAAACAATTACCAAGAGACAGTTTTACAGGAAGGGCTTCTCAGATCTTGTGGCTCTTAAAAAGTAGAAGTTCTGCATACTACCTAACCCCTTGGGTTTCCACGTGTCCTCCAAAGCTAGTGTGACCACGCAAGGCAACGGAAAACGTGCCCAGAAGCGCTAAGCTTCCTAAACTCCAAAGCCATAGATCAAGCGCTGTCAGTTGTTCCTTAAATGTTCTAAACCTGTCATGGAACTGATTTGGTCAACCGCTCCGGCAAGGGTTCTAGTTTTAACGTTTTTCTGAAGGAATGAGTGGGCATTCTGTCGTCTCGAACTCCAGGTTAGGCCATACGAAGCTGTTGAAAATTCTATGGAAAAGTCTGATGCGGAACTGTCCTGCAGATTTCTGTGCTGATTACTGTTCCTCTTAATGAGTAGACTGATAACGTGGGCACCACTTCCAGAGCTCAGATTCAATAGTTGGTTACTCGGTGCGAGAATCAGTACTATACGAAGACAACGTTGATCGTTGACCTCATTACCGTCTGGTTATGCGCTCTGAGAAACAAAGATGGTACGAAGTCTTTTTCCATGTCTTGCGTAGCGTGACTATATCAAAACACAAGCATTCAAGATAAAACTGCTCTGATGAACGCATAAAGCCTCAATTCTGCGTATTCGTACTGTACCATTTCTGAAAGCCATTACTTTCGTCGGTGTCAAACCGTGACCTTCAATGGA